AACTCAAATTTTATCAGAAAACAAAAATCACTCCTTATGTGCGGTTATTTCTTCTCACTCAGCACCAAAAAAATCCCCAAACATTAAGCCATATTCTCTCCTACATCACTGAAATCTTTGATCAACTAGCCTCCACAAAAAGGCCAATTCCTCTATTTGTGTACCTGATCCTTCACCCTCCATTTGCCACTTCCTCCTTGCTACCCTTCAACCTCTCTTCCTACCAGCTTCTTCTCTTCTATTTATAAACATACACAAGACTTTCTCATTCTTAAAAAATGAACAAACAGAGGCAGCTAGGTGGCACAGTGGAAAGAACACTGGCCCTGGATTCAGGAGGACCCGCGTTCAAATCTGGCCTCAGATACATAACACTTACTAGCTGTGTGACCCTGGGCAAGTCACTTAACCCCACTGCCTAGCCCCTCCCCCCCAAAAACAAACAAACAAACAACCTTACACTTGATATGGTCATTTTCTCAGGTTATCACCCTGTATCTTTGTGTTTCAAAGACAACCTCCTAGAAAAAGCTATTTATGCTTGCTGCCTCCCCTTCTACTGCTCCTACTCATTTCTCAAGTCTTTGCAATTGGGTTTTCTATTTCACCCCTCAACAATCTCTTAATTACTAAACTCAAAAGCCTTTTCTCAGTCCTCATCATTCCTGACCTCACAGTAGCTCCTGACACTATTTTATTAAGCACTTACCATATACCAAGCAACAGCAATAGTCATGACACTCAGTTCCTGCCCTCGAGAGGCTTACATTCTAATAGAAAACAATGTGGGGTTTTTTTGGGTTTTTTTTGGTTAGGCAATGGGGTTAAGTGACTTGCCCAGGGTCACACAGCTAGTATGTGTTATGTGTCTGAGGCCACATTTGAACTCAGGTCCTCCTGAATCCAAGGCTGGTGCTCTATCCACTATGCCACCTAGCTGCCCCTGGGTTCGTTTGTTTTTAAAGAAGGCTTTTTTAGTTCTCTCCCTTCCTTCCTTCCTTCTATCCTTTGCTGGATCATTACTCATGTCTCAGTTCCAAACCCTGGGTGTCCCCCAAAGGTCTATCCACAGATCCTTGACCCTACATTAAGAACTCCTCTTCTAGGTTCTTTTTACAGATGTGACATCCTATGATTCTACACTTGGTTATACAAAAACAATATTATGATTTTGCCAATCAGCAAAAACTGAAACAAACAAAACGTTCTGATTCTCTGAGCCTTCATTAGCCCAGTTTTCCTGTAGTGAGAAATTTAGAGTGGAAAGGACCTTAGAAAGTCTAGGGGCAGCTGGGTGGCGCAGTGGATAGAGCACTGGCCCTGAAGTCAGGAAGACCTGAGTTCAAATAGAGCCTCAGACCAAACACTTGACACTTACTAGCTGTGTGACCCAGGGCAAGTTACTTAACCCCAACTGCCTAAAAAGAAATAAAGTCTATCTTTTCATGTTATAGACGGGAAATCTGAGGTCTAAAAGGGGTTAAATGACTTGGCTAAGATCAACAGAAGTGTTAAATTGACACCTTATTTTGAACTCCTTACTTTGAACAGATCCAAGTTAAAATGTAAATAGGAAATGTTTCACAAAATAAATAAAATGCAATATAAAACATTAATTTGTCAAAATAGTATTAATTAAATAACAAATTGAATTATAATTATGTTGTTTATATTATTGTGATTATTAAATAAGATTGATAAAATTGTTTCTAACTAATAAATGTGTTAATAGTTAATACTAATTTTATTAATATGCTGGTCACAGGGATCGGTTTCTATTTCAGTTTGACACCACTGTCTTAGTACTTTAATACTGTAACCCAGGTTATATAGTTTAGGTCTCCTGACTACTCATCCACTCATTAAACCCAAATCACTCTGGGTACTATGGCTCTCACTGGCAAACAGTAAGTTCCAGCCCAAGCCTTACTTGGTCACTGTTTGGGCTCAGATGGCTCACAGTGAGTGTAAATAGCAACTGTTTCTGTTTCGGCCCAGAAACCTGAGGGTCTTCCCCTCCCAGATTGATTTTTTTTTTTAAACTAGGTAAAAGAGGCCATTTTTTGCCTTATTTCTTATCTAGTCTTAATCAAGGAATGAGAGTCACCTTAGTCAAAATGAGAACTGGGAAAGACCTTAGCTTAAAAAGGCCAAGGTCTCCCACTGCATCCAGGGCCATCTCCAGTCATCCTGATCTACATCTCGCCTCTGGGCCCAGATGGCTCCAGAGGACAAAGTGAGGTTGGTGACTTTGCACAGCCCTCCCTCACTTAAATCAAACTCACCTGCAAATCATGACATCACCTTCCTGTGGTCATGGTCCTCTTTGAAAAAGAAGGTCAAACTACAGAGTCCTGGACTATCTTCTCTCTATATACCCACCCTCAATTATCTATCAGTTCCCATAGGATCAATTATCCTCTCACTCAAGAGTTCAATGACACTCCCTAAACCTGTTCCAGTGGCTCCCTATTGCCTCTTGGATCAAATACAAACTCTACCCTGCACGTAAAAGCATTCCTAGCCTGGCTTCAGGCCGCCTTTTTTTGGATTATTGCCAAGTTACTCTGATTCACCTACTCTATAATCCAGAAAAATTGATCTTTTTCTGTTATCCTTCAGAAACATTCTATTTCCTGTCTCTGTGACTGGCTGTTGCCTCATGCTTGGAAAGCATTCCCTCCTCACCACCTCTTAAATCCCTATTTTCCTTCGATGTTTAGCTCAAGCTCCCCCAAAAGGCTTTTCTCAACACTCCCAGCTGCTACTGCCCTGTTTCTCTAATTACCTTATATTTTCTTTGTATATATTTTCTACATTAGTATATGTGTTTACTGTTTCCCTGCAATATAATGTAAGCTCCTTAAAGCCAGGGACTGTTTCATTTTTGTCTTTATATCCCAGGCTCTGACAAAATATTGAGCACCTAATACGTTCTGTTAATGTATGGATCTCTATGCAAATGATTCCAGATCTATATATTTATGCTGCAATCCCTCACCATTAATTGTCTATGGGACAGACTGGATCTCCCAATTGGATGTCCCACAGTTTATCTATCTCAATCTTAACATGTCCAAAACAAGAACTCAGTTTCTTTGCCTCAAACCTACCCCTCTATCCTAACTCCCCTGGCTAATTAGAGCTGAGAACCCCATCATCATTCTAGTCACTCAGAATCCCAACCTCAGCATCATTCTTCAACGAGCCCCTGACTCTCAATCCCTAAATCCAATTAATTTATAAGAGTGAGTTGTGAACTGATTCAACCATTCTGGAGAGCAATTTGGAACTATGCCCAAAGGGCAATCAAATAGTGATTTGATTTTTTGATCCAGCAATACCACTACTAGGTCTGTATCCCAAAGAGATCATAAAAAAGGGAAAAGCACCTACATATATAAAAATATTTGTAGCAGCTCTTTTCACAGTGGCAAAGAACTGGAAATTGAGAGAATGACCATCAATTGGGGAATGGCTGAACAAGTTGTGGTATATGAATGTAATGGAATACTACTGTGATGATGAGCAGGCAGATTTCAGAAAAACCTGGAAAGATTTATATGAACTGATGCTGAGTGAAGTGAGCAGACCCAGGAAAACATTGTTAACACTGTACAATGATCAACTATGACCAATTTGGTTATTCTCAACAATACAATGATCTGGAACTGATCACGTATGTCCTCTGAAGGACTTACATGAAAAATGCTATCTATTCCGAGAGAAAGAACTGATGGTATCTGAATACAGACTGAAGCATATTTTTTTACTTTTTTTTTGTCTATGTTTTCCTTCACAACATGGCTATTATGGAAATGTTTTGTATGACTACAATAACCTATATTGAATTGTGTGCCTTCTCAATGAGGGGGAGTGAGGAGAGAGAAAAGGAGAGAATTTGGAACTCAAAATTTTATAAACAAATGTTAAAAATTGTTTTTACATGTAACTGAGGAAAAATAATACTTTTTTTTAAAAAGAAAAAAAGAATATTATTAGAAATAAATAAAATTAAATTTTAAAAAGTGTTAAATCCTCCATAACATCTCTACCATCCATTTTGACTATTGTATCAACCTCCTAATTGGTCATCCTGCTTTCAGCCTCTGCCCCTCTCTAAACCATTTTCCATAGAGCTGCCAAAATAAGTAATCTTCCTAATGCACATCTGACATCCCTGTCCTCAAGGACCTCAAGTAACTCTCTGCAGCCTCCAGGATAAAATACAAATTCTTTATTTTGGCATTTAAAACCCTTCATGTTCTGGCTTTAGCCTGTCTTTCCAAACTTACTTCATATTATTCCCCCTCACATAGTCTAGGTTCCATTTAGACTGGCCTACTTGCTGTTGTAGTGCTTTGTACCAATTAAGCACTTAATAAATGACTTTTTCATTCATTCATTCTGAATCAAATAATTCTTTTCCAGACTCCCTGTTTCTATATAGACTGTCCTCCATTCCTAAAATATACTTCTTTCTCACTTCTGACTCAGAATTCCTGGTTTTCTTCAAGGTTCAGCTCACTGGCCTCCTCTGCTAGGAAGTTTTTCCTGATCTGCATAGTGGTGAGTGCTTTCTCCATCTTTAAATAATAATTTGGTTACATGTTGCATCTCTCCACCTCCTTCACCAAGGAGATATAAGCTAAATGAGACAGGGATTGTACTTTGTTTTGTCACTGTATTCCCAAAGCTTATCATGGTGCCTTGGCTAAGTGTCAATGGGTTTGGTATAGAGAGATAATAAGAGCTACTGGCAAGTTTTGCAGAAAGGGATAATTGTAGCCATTGGTAACAAAGACCACTTTAAAGATCAACTGAAAGAAACTGAGGTTCTGGTCAAGAGAACGGAGGCCTGAAAAGAGGTGCTGAAATTCTCATGTACAACATCTTTGGGGAATTAGTGGATTACTTATGAAATTTACAGCATGAGAGGGTAGAATTACAGAGCTAGCATAACTGACTGGGGTGGTGGCAAAGTGGCCACAGTCACTTACTCTGAGGGAGCCACAGGCCCGGGGGAAGTAGGTCATGCAGGCCTTCATTCCCTCCAATGCTGACAGCTCACACTATGAGGAAATAAGAAGGAAAGTGAGCAAGAGCCTCTCCCACACCCTACTGCTTTCAAATCCCCACGTGAGCCCCAGTATCCTTTAAGCCTTCATCTTCATTCCTCCCCCCTCATTTCAACTTTCCCGAGGGCATACACCTTACCTCAGGCTTGAGGCCCAGCAAGGATGTCAGCAGGCCAGGCAGGTGGTTCGTGGAGATGTCTCGGGAGAGCTCAGGGAGCTGGGCTGAGTATCGAAGAAGATCTCTGAGAATGGCTACAGCCAACTCCATAGTAGGGGCTGGGTCCTGGGACTGAAAAGGAAAGGGTGAGAAAGAAAGATGAGGCCAGAGAAAACCCATGTTCTTACTTCCTAAAGGTAAAGGATAGCACGAGAGGTTTTAGGAAGAACACCAGGGTTGATCAGAGGAGGCAACAGAGTACAGTAAGAACTCTAGATTTAGAGGTGGCTAGTCAGTCAACTATCATTTTATCAAGTACTTGCCATGTGCCAAGTGACATCAATACAAATACAAACAGACAGACTGTCAGGACAGTCAGTCCCTGACCTTAAGAGACTTACATCCTAATGGGAGAAGACAACATATTAAAAAAAGAGAGAGACTGAAAAGGGAGGTGGAGAGAGACAAAGGCATACATGGAATAGTAGAGAAGAATCAAATGTTCGTAAACTTTTATATCCTTTCCCAGCCCTGACAGAGTACTTTCTAGCTGCCATCAGGGCTGGAGAAGCTGCAGACTGCCTAGTTTCCCCTTCCCCAACCACATCTCAACTCTTTCTAGCCAGTTATTCCCTTCTGAAAATAACCAGCAGCATCTCCCAGACTGAAGTCTGAGTCCTCACATCTCTATAGTGATGTAAAGTTTGAAAAGTGCTTTTGTTGCTGTTGTTCAGTCACGTCGGACTCTTCACGAACTCATTACGGTTTTCCTGGCAAAGGTACTAGAGTGGTTTGCCATTTCCTTCTCCAGCTCATTTTACAGAGGAGGAAACCAAGGCAATAAGAGTTAAGTGACTTGCCCAAGGGCACACAGCTAGTAAGTGTCAGAAGGAAAATTTGAAGATGAGTCTTCCTGATTCTAGGCCCAGAACCCTATCCACTTTGCCACCTAACAAGCCCATTTGATCCTCACAACAACCCTGGCGATGTATACTATTACCACCCCCATGCCCCTCTATAAATTACAAAAAAAAAAAACCAGAGGCTGAGATTGACTCATCTAAGGTCACATAGCTTACAAGGGTCTGTGGCAGAATTTGAACTCCAGCCTTCTTAACTTCATGTTAGCCACTCTTTCCACCATTCTATATTGTCTATATTAAGTAAAGCATCAGCTTGAACAGGATTGTTCTCTTTTTCTCTAAGCTTACTAGGTCACACCTTTCCTAAGATCAGGAAGGGAAAGGAGAGCTTAGATTTCAAAGTCTTTCTGGATTAAATGAATATATTGAATGTGGAACAACAAAATTCAACCCTTTTCTCCATTAGACTCCTACTAGTCTACTGGAGAGGATTAAAAAGTCAGCAGAGATAAGAATGTTAATAAAGGAAGAAGCCAAGGTGGAGACATCTGTAGAAAAGTTAAAATGGGACGTGTTTTAAAGCAATTAATTTAATATAGTAGGTAATAATGGTCAAAGAAGTTAGGTAAATGCAATGGCTAAGAATGACAGCGAAGAGCTGAAAACAGCATTCCTGTCCCATGATCACTTCTTGTCTACAATGGATTGGGTCTTATTCCTTTACCAGATTCTCTTCCCATAAGGAATCCATCATATCCAGGAAATGGGAGGGGGAAGGGGGAGCAGGGAAGGAGAGAAGGAGGACATGCTTACCTGAAGGACATGCTGAATACTACGGAGCCAGGAAACACTGTGCTGCTGGAACGTCTCAGTGGGACTCTCGGCCACCAGCAGGGAAAGCAAACACAACCCCTCAAACCTGGCAAGGGGATGAGGAGGGGCAATGTCTGAGAGGATGGGCTAGATTCCACTGAGTGATACCTCCCTCTCTTTACCTATCTCCTGGGACTTAAGGCCTAACTCCTAAAGGATGTGGGAATGTGGTTGGCAGAAAGTGAGAAAGAGCTCCAGCCTGAGAAGCAAAAGTTAAAGAGAAACTCCTGCTTTGGTAAAAGAAGGCCTGAGTATTAATGTACAACTGGAAATGGGTAATAAAGTAATATAATTAGATGTAAATCTTAACTTCCAGTCAAGAGAAGTTGTAAAAACCAGGAATGAGGCTTCCAGAAGACACCACCACATCCAAGATATGGAAGCAGGGAGATGGACAAGGTGATCTCAGGAGGAACTAGGAGGTTCCTTCTTGAGTCCCAAGGAAAACTGGAAGTATGGGGATGGATATGTGGTTGAGTTGCTGGACTTGAGGTGAAGGATGAAACTTGGTAAAGGACTCACCGAGTCTTAATGGAGCCAAGTCGGGCATTGCTGAGACCCACCAGTGCTCCCACTGCTGAGAGGTTCTATGGAGAGAAAGAAGAGAGGAATCAAGGTTAGGCAGAGGAAAGGAAGGAAGAGAACCCACATGGTATTACTTCTCTATCATCTGAAAAGTCCCAACCATTCCAAAACTCAATATCATAACTCTGACCTGCAAACCCAATTCAATTCTCCCAGAAGCCATCATACCAAGACTTCTATCCATTTATGCAGATAGGCATTTACCTCTTGCCTCCAACTGATAAAACTCTTTAGCTTCATGCCTCATTCAATTCAATATGTATTTACTGAGTGCCTACCATGCTCAGTATCATGGGTTATACAAGAGAAGCATGACACAGCCTTGGCTTTCAAGGAGTCTGTCACATTGTTTGGGAGCACAGGAGGGGGTCTTCAAGATAATTACATGAAAAACAATTAAAAAAAAGACTCAAGAGAATATAACTAAGAATCCCCAAAGAATGGTACAAGAATCTCTGGGAGATCAGAGCAGGTCAATGAAGGAGCCTAATTATCACAATAGGCTTTATCTAAGTATGGAAAAACTCGGAGGATTTACATAAATAATGTGGAGAAAGGGGGAAATATTCCAGGTGAGGGGAAACAAAAGAAACAGATGCAAGAATAAATTTAATATGTCCACACAGGCAATGAGATTGTCTAGTGGTTGAAAAATGGAAACAAAGTGAGAGATGTACAAAGAGGGGCCAAATTGCAAATGGTTCTGGATGCCAGGCAAAAGAGATTGTGCTATAAACATAATGCTATAATAGAAAGCTACCATGGGTTCTTGAGCAGGGGAGAGAAATGATGAAAATGGTTTAAAAATGGTGTCTGGTCATGGTACGATAGGTGATTCAAAGTGGACAGGACATAAGAGAGACAATGAGTTAATCAATGAATCAGTGAATACTTACTATTTACTGGACAACACTGAACTAGACAGTACAGAAATACAAAGAAGGCAAAAATCTCTGCCTTCAAGAACAAAATCTTACTGCAAAAAAAACACATAAACATGAAGAACACCAATAACAATAAAACTCAGTATATAATCAAGTGACAAATGAATTGAAAAACAAATGCTATAAGAATTTGCAGGAGGAAGAGATCACTGATGGCTGCAACAGTCAAGTATAAGGTAAGGTGAGCCACATAGGGAGAATCTGAAGGGAGAGGTGAGGAAAAGAGGGAGCAGAAAACAGCATTCCAGACCAGGGGAACGATCAAGAGCAAAAGCTCAGAGGTTTGTACGAGCTTTGAATAGTGCAATAACAATGACTAGACCTGAACAGCTTAAAAACTGAAACTGAGAAATATAAGACAAAAAAGGGACATTGGGAAAAGTAATTCATTAAGGCCAACTTGGGCTTTAGGCAATGGAAAAATCAGTGAGAGCTTATGAGCACATGACATATAAATGACATAATGAATGCAATATAAAAAGATATTAGATGAATTCCATACATGTAGAGAAACTGATGAAAATCTGACAAGTTACAAGATTCTTGTATCACTTCAGGCAAAAGGTAACATAGGCTTATCCCATGACAGTGGAAATACAAAGAAAAATAGTAGGAATACTGAGAAAATAGTGGGAAAACAAAGAAATAAGTAAATTTAAGAACAAATAGCCTTATAACTTGTTACAGTGCCTTTAGTTCCTCCCTCTTTCTGATCCACCCAGATTCATCTTCTTTAACACAAGACTTGATGATAAATGGGATATGGATAACAAAGGAGAAAAGAATCATATTTCCAAAATGACCAAATAAGAGTCAAAGATGCTTCTAAAATACAGAGCTAGGGTAACTGGGAATATAGTGGTATCACAGAAATCGTGACTCTTAGAGTTTCATAATAAGATAAATAGCACTGAAATTATCTAGTCTGAGCCACTCATTTCATGAAGAAAACTAAGGCTTAGCTATGGAAAGTGGCTAGACGCTATAGGGAGGTAGAACTGTGTCCTGGGCTGTACCATATTGCTTAAAAAGGAAAAGATTAATTATGAGCCCCTTGAATCGGAGGTGATACTGGGAGATAGTTTGAAAATACAGGAATGGAAGTCTGGAGAGGTGCGGTCCCTGAAGATGATAATCTAAGAATCAGTAGGGAAGAGAGAAAAACCAATCACAACTAGATTTCCTCTCAGCCTCCTCAGGACTCTGCTACAGGGTTCATCTCCCTACTGCTTACAAAAAACCTATTATCTCGGGGATCCTCTCTACTTATCTCTTTTATTTGTGCCTCCTCCCTCCAGATTCCGCCCTTTAGGTCCCACTCGCAAGCCCCCTTGGGGGCTGACCTCACCTCCAACCACCTCAACCCAGCCCCACTCCCGAAAGCTCACCTGGGAGGGACCCCCTTCCCACACTCCCCCCCTCCCCACCCCGAACCAGGGCCCGCCCACCGGCGCTCGACTTCACCTGGGCCCCGCCCATCATCCCGTGCAGCCTCAGCAGACGCACGAGTCCCGGCACCAGCGGGGCCGTGGGGGGTGAGGGAGGCGCAGCAGGACCGGCCCGAGGCTGCAATAACCCGGATACGCTCTCCAACAGCAGCATGCGGAGACGTGACCCAGGACCTGCGGCCGGGAGACCGCCTGCCCCGCCCGGACCCCCAGCCCCAGAACCTGTGGGGCTCCCGCTCAGCACGGCTGCCGCCATCTTCGCCTGCACTCTTGGCCGCTGCGCACTGTGATGACGTCAACACGCTGCGACTGTGCGGCGGAAGGAAGGGGGTGTAGGGGGCTAAAGGCATGCGTACTGAGGACCAGAGGGAGCCTGGCGCCACAGAGAAAAGAGGAGGCTGCGCGTGCGCGTTGAGTCTGGTGTGGGACTGAGCGAGGAGGATGGGACGCGTGATTTAATTAATATTGATGAGTATTTTCTAGGAAGGGAGGCGAAGGGAAACCATGTGGGGGGGAGGCCTCTTTTCCCCCTGCATAGGGTAAGTTTTGAGTGGGCCCATTCCTTATCCCAACACCACGAGCATTGTAGCCCTCTAAGCTTGCTGGCTTGGGATCAGGGTGGAGCCAGGGATTTAGCTGGGGGAACCCTAAAATAATTTAGGGTCGAAATCGTCATTCCTAAAGGAAATCCTTTATATACATAAAGTTCACTTACTTACCAGTAAATCTTTATACTTCCCCTAAGTCTATATCTACTATTAGACTGAGAACTCCAGAGGATCATGAATTTGCATGGGTGTATGTTCATCCATAGAGGTCAAAGTACAACCTGAATTCAAAAGAGAAGCTTAGGAATGTATCAGGGAATTCGGGAGTAGAGGATCCTGGAGCAGGGCATTGGAAAACAAGGTTGGCAGTGGGAGATACAAAGGATGTAATGTATAAGAATCATAGACTGTTAGGTATCATAGAATTGCAAGCCATCTTAGAGGTGATAGCTTCCATCTATAGCACTAAGGTTTGCAAAGAGCTTTACCTATGATCTCATTTTTTCCTAATTAGCAGCACTTCATGTAAATACTACAGACATCATCTCCATTTGAAAAACAAGGACACAGGATTAAGAGAATTTGAGACTTGTCCATGGTCACAGTGTTAGAGGCTGGTTTGGAATCCAGGTCTCCTCTGACTCAAAATGCAGTACTGTTCCCACCATATCGTGCTACCTTTCTAGGAAGAGAACTAGCATGGAGATCATATATAATTGTTAGATTGTGATAGTTGCAATCGCTAAAGGAATTCGGGGGGGAGGGGGGAGAAAGCCCCAGCCATTTTGTATAATAATTAGGATTCGTATAGTGATTTAAGGTTTACAAAGCACTTTCTTCTTATCGTGAATGAGGCAGTGCAAATATTAATCAGCTCTGTTTTATAGGTGAGGACATAATGATCAGAGAGGTTAAAGGATTCCCTTAACACAGAGATAATAAACGAATTGCAAACCGAAGTCTCCAGTTCTCCAGGTTCAGAGTTATCTCGAAGCTGGCTTTTCACCAGTTTGTTAAACATATTTTCTATGATTCAATTAATGAATGAAGATGGAGTGGGGTGGACGAGTATGGAAGAGGAAGGTGGGAAGAGATACTGAGCCGGGGGTGGGGGTGGGGATCAGAGAGTGCCGAGACATTATATGGTAAGGTATCCTGAGGGCCGCGCTAAAAGGGGACTTGCTAGTCCTCGGGAGGATACTCGTTTTCAGTGGTTCAAATGCGTGAGTGTTGAATGTATACCATATGTACATGCTTCCTCTTCTGACCCTGGTCCTGCGATCACTCATATCCTGAGAACGAAAGAGGGGTAGAGAAGGGAAGAATATCTACTCCGCCAATGGACGCGTGAGCCTGAACACGAAGAGCCAATACACGGGCTTGTCTTGCTGGGGCGGGGATGGGGAACGGGGCGATGTCTCCCTTTCGAATGGGGAACCAAATAGCTGTCTGGAAATGCAGAGAGGCTTGGAGAGGGGAGGGGCAGACTGGCTGAGAGCTCCCCCGAGCAGTTGCTGAGGAAGCACCAATCAGCGCTTGGCAGGGAGGTGGGCCGGCTTCACCGTCCAGTCACCGTGGAGAATTGGAGATTCGGCCAAGAGAGGGAGGGGTCGAATCCCCCCCGCTGACGCGTCGGACCCGAGTTTAGTGGGATGGGGAGGGGAGAAAGGTGGTGAGGCGCTTGCGCAGTAGTGGCGGGGAGGAGCTGGGCCAAGCAGCGGGCGAGGAAAGCTGTGAGCTAGTAGCCGGGCGGGCGGACTGCTGTGCGCACCATGGGGGAAAAAGCAGGGACCAGGTAAGTAGGATGGGGTCTGCAAAAGGGGTGCATCGCTCAGAGCCAGGGTTTGCAGAACGAGTGGCTGCGGGCTCCCTGGATGGAGAACATGGGGAGGAGAGCGGGGACCAGGCGCCTGGGGAATGAGGATGGGAGTGGGGGCAGGGGCGCTGGAAGGACCGGGCTTGTGGGTCCATGGGGACGTGAGGTGGACGGGAGCAGCATGCATGGCACACTAAGACGAGTGGGGACTCGGAGCCTGGAGCCTGCATTCCAAAGGGACGGGGTGGGTGGGGGGCGATAAACGCTTGAGCTGTCTTGTGGCTCAGATGCTGGGACACTGAGAGGAGCAGCAGGTGGCCTGTTACCCCCAGGGACAGTGCTTGGAGAGGGAAGCCTAAACCCAGTGGGGAGAGACAGCCCCCCTCCCTCCGTCTCGTACCAAACAAACAGGAAGTCGCCTGTACAGTAGTCCCCCGCCCTGGAAGAGTGCCCTCTACCTGCATCCTAGCCTGTGATACCCACATATTTTGTCTTCACCCCCCAAGGATTGCTAGAGGCAGCAGCTTTATGGAGAAGAGTACATATGAGAGACTGAGAGATAATGTTGCTGGCAGCCCACCCTAGCATGCTGCTGTGTCTCCTGTCCCCAGCACCATTTGCCTTTAGTATACCCTCTCCCCACATAATTTTAAGTCAAGGCCCCTTGCACTCTCTGTACCCCAACTTGTTTTTTTTTTGACTCCAGTAGAATCTACTCCCTGTTGTGACCTAATACCCACTCGGGGACCTAAAGCTGTTGGGGGTGTATGTCTCTGTTTCTGGTAGGAAGGGAAAAAAGGGGGGAAAAAAGAAACCCTGGAAGAGCTAAGAGTATGTCCTAGCAGCCTGATCTGTCATATCTCTTACAAATTGCAGTCAAACCTTTCTTGGTAGAAAATGGGAGCCTAGGTTTCTGACCCCAAAGCTAAATGTTTGGGTTAAGGGGAGGAACAGTTCACAAGGGCAGGCAGTGGGATGTGGGTGGGTTAGAATCCCAAGGTAAAAAGGGAAGTGGTTGACTGAGACTCCCCCTTTTCTCTTCTGTGGCATGGGTATTTTGGGGGGAGTGGACTAAGGAGGGGACTGCTGACATGGCACAATTTATCACACATACCACCACTACCCCTTCTTTGAGCCACAGGAAATGGAGAGAATAGCAGGAAATGGGGGGGGCACCTGCTTCTGCTGGCCCTCCCCTCTGGGCAACTCCCTTGATCTCCCCCACTCATCTTCACCACTCTCCACACACATGAACTCCTCCCTAGATTGGGGCAATTAACCACATTCATCAGCTCAACTGAAGAAAGGTTTATTAAGCTCCTATGTGCCATAAAGCACTATGCTCAGTGCTGATGGATAGGAAATCGCAAATGAAAAATAAATAATGCCTGCTCTCAAGGATGGATCGGCATCCTCTCTTGGGCAAGGGCTTTTGCTCCAATAACCAGCATCCAGGTAAATACCATCCTGGGGCCTCTAAGATGACAGGATCATAAAATTTAGAGCTGTAGCCCTTGAGAGATAATCTAGACCGACTCCCTCCTTTTACAGAAAAGGAAACAAACACAGTAACTTACCCAAAATCCACATATGTGTTAAGGAGCAGACCTAGGATTTAAAGACTAGGCCTTTGACACCAAATAAAATATTCTTTTTTAAAATATACTATGCTGCCTCTCCCTTAGTTTAATTTGGAGCGGGGGGGGGGGGGGTCCTGGAAGGGGGCAGGCAAACAAAAAGTAGAAAGTATAGATATCCCCTTTGGTCTTTTGAGGAACATCAGAACACAGTACTTAGCATGACAACAAGAAGAAAATAAATGGTAGCTAGTACTGGACATTCAGTCACGTCCAACTCTTCATGACCCCATTTGGGGTTTTCTTGGCAAAGATACTGGAGTGGTTTGCCATTTCCTTTTCCAGCTCATTTTACAGATGAGGAAACTGAGGCAAACTGGATTAAGGGACTTGCCCAGGGTCATACAGCTAGTAAGTGTCTGAGGCTGGATTTGAATGCAGGTCTTCCTGACTCCAGGCCTGGCCCTCTATTCACTGTGCCACCTAGTTGCCAGGTAGCATATTGAAATGTCATTTTGCTTTTCTGGAGAGGTCAGTGTGGGAGAATGGGAAAAGGGTTGGACCTGGTTGGTTCTAATAGTTTTCACTAAGGAAATTTGACCCTCTGGGAGTCAAGAAGGGAATTGGGGAACTGGAGTTTGGGGAAGCTTGAAGTAGTTATCATTCAGTGTTGGCCATTTTAGGTTTATCCAAGAAGCATTTATGAGAAACAAGAGTGTCTGAGAGGTAAGTAGGGATGTGTCTACTTGAGAGAAGGGGCAGATCCCTTGGCAGTTGCTATGAAAAATAAATTCTAAATGATGCCATGTTGGGGCCCCAAAGACTTCTTATCTCAATCCCAGGTGAAGTCGTAGCCTAAAAGACTGCCTTGGACAATTGTTAGTGGAATAGAACCATCTCCAGGTACTTAGTTCACGTGGTGAAATGCACTTGGGCAGTATCATGTAGTAGTTAAAATGATGGACTTGGAGTCAGAAAGACCTGGATTTGAATGCTGCTTTTGATACTGACTGTACATTTGATTGTGGGCAAAATTACATCCCCCTCAGCTTCAGTTTCCTGGTCTTTAAGCTGGGGATACCACCTCCCATGGTACCTACCTCCATAGGGTTGTTGTCACAGTAATCTGATTTTGGCAACTGCCATAGTGGACTATATCAAGGGGAATGTCTGCTTTCCCTCAGGCAGACAATGGGGATGAGGCAAATGACTGGACAACAGACTGGTGGTCACTATTACAGCCCCTTACTGGTACCCCCGAGAGTGAGTCAGCCTCTGAAAAGAGGAGAGCAAATATGGTTTGAATTTGGGGGAGTGGT